GCTAGATTTACCAGGGTCATTCCCAAAAGATTCAGATTTTTCAAATATACCAAGAAACGGTTACATGCCAAATATACCTTAAAATATTTTCTTACCTTATCCAGGGAGAACGTTTTAGTGACAGCAAAGCCCCATCCAGCTTCAAAAGCTCTTCGAATCATTGAAGAACTAGTAGTGGGGGTCGCACTGGCAAGGCCAAAAGGATTTGGAAACTTCAGTCCAGCCATTTCTACACTGATGTCTACTAAATCGATAGGAGTATAGAAGAGTGGTAGTTCTGGAACAGCAGAAACTGCGACACCATGTAAGGACTGCAAAAAACAAAGAAAAACCACGGAATTTTTTGCTGATTCATTTTTATATAATTTATTATTAACCCTGATAAGGGAATAATTCATATATAATAACCCAAGGTTTAAGTATTCTATTGTGTGTTCAGACTTGCAAATCAGCAAAACATGCAAACACTTGCATATGTAACATCTTCTGTCCAAACAGCACTCATGCTGAAATACTCTGCCATGCTGGAAATAACTGAAGAATAATAATAATGAAACAGTTATTTCACACCCTGTACTGCTAACCCTGGTTCAGTTCAAAGGTTTGTTCAGCCATTCTGAACAGCCAGTTCTGTTCCCTACAGCAGCCAGCAGAAGTGAGATTAGAAAAAAACCCACCAGGGTATGCACAGGCAGACCCTTTCTAGTTTTCTTCCCAAGTGCCAATCTATAAAAAGTGTAGGGACTTGTGAAAAATGAGGGAAGGAATCCATGCGCAGGATCACTTACTCCTAACTCAACACATTTTTAACTCCTGCACCTTTTTTCCCCCCTTTTAAAGATTTTATCTAGCCTACACAATGGGATACATATCAATATATGCAAAACTATTATTGTTTTAATATTTAACTGTATTAATATGAATACTTTAAGGATGACATAAATTAGACTCTGATTTGGGATCAAAGAAGAACATACACATTATGGCTGTGACACCACAGTCACTTTTGTTTTCATTTTAAAGACAGCCTTTTCTCTGGAGAGTCAGCGAAAAGCTTTCAACGTAAACGTTGCATCTAATACTGTAAAAATTGTAGAGAGAAAATCTTTTTCCATGTAGGGATACTCAACAGCATCCTAATCAGGCAGTGGTAGGTAGAATTAAAATCTTTGCTCACTCAGATGGGTGACTCAATAAAATCACAAGGAAATAAAGCAGAAATTTCTAACACAGAGAAGCCCTACACAGTCTGTGTTCCGAATAAGTGCCAGCATAAAATCACAGCAGTTTCTTCTACCCTTAAAACGAAAATTTCTTCAGCAGGACAAAAAGAACCACTACTGGAGGTGTGAGGAAGATTTTCTGTAACAGTAAAAACCTCAGCCACTTCCAAATTGCTGCCTTTTAGGTTGGTTGGTTGTTGTGTTTTTTTAAAGGAACTTATTTACCTGATTTTTGCCTATGAAAACTAATAAGCGTGGATGCGATGAGGGGTTTTTTGTTTGGTTGGTTTGTTTGTTTTAGTGTCTTTTGTTTCCTAGGCTGGTTCAAAACCTGACAGTTCACGTCTGTTTTGTTTTGGGACTGCCTGGATTCATGTCTCAGATTCTGACCCCAGATCTTCGATTCCTTGGACAGAGAGGATACATTTGGGGGCCAAATTTTCGTATGGTTTAAAAGCACTGAAAGTAGTGGAATTGTCCAAGCCTAAATGATGCGAACCTGAATGCATCCTTAATGGTGAACATTTTGAGAAAAGCTAAGTTTTAAAGATCCCTAACACATGGGACCAAACTCCCTTCAGCATCACGACCTCTCCCAGCTAGGAGTTGCTGCAGCCTGACTTTATAAAAAGCCAGACATCCCCCATTTCATCCCTCCTGAGTGCTCGCTGCTTCCTGCACGTCATACTCCACAGGGCTGTTTTCCTGCACCAGAAGAATCTGAGTTCTTAGAAGACCAAACAGCCCAGCACTCTACATCTCAAAAGCTTTTTGTTAACTGACATATCAAAGAAGAATAAAAGAAAAGAAAAGAAAGAAAATTATAGTCTTTTGATTATTTTGGGTTTGATTTCAGCCCATTAACTTTTTTTTAGTCTTTCTTAAATAAAATTTCACCTGCAAAATGTTTGCAATGCCAAAACAGAACTTCCTGGATCACACGACTGAAATTAAAGCACTTCTTAAATGTTAGCACTTTTTGTCTCCTACATATCTGGAAGCGGGGAAATCTGCTGAAACCAAGACTGATATATTGAACTCTTATACTGAACTCTCTGATTTTGATTCTGTAAGAATGACAGCAAAGAAAGACTTATGGAAAGGGTTTTGGCCAATTCCAATATGTGCACATGTGAGTAATAAAACTAACTTTCTATTTTGAAAGCAGTTATTTGTTAATTCATTTGCTATCCAGAATTGTTCAAATATTCCCTGTGAATACATTTCAGCCTGTGGATCGCTCAAGAACTATTCATTGCTTGTACAACTGTAAATATTGATTGCTACAGCCAGATAGATGGACAGATTAAGTGCTTAATATGCAGTTTAAATTGGAATCATAGAATCATAGAATGGTTTAGGTTGGAAGGGACCTTGAAGATCATCTAGTTCCAACCCCCCCTGCCATAGGCAGGGACACCTCCCACTAGACCAGGTTGCTCAAAGCCCCATCCAGCCTTAAACACCTCCAGGGATGGGGCATCCACAGCTTCTCTGGGCAGCCTGTTCCAGTGCCTCACCACCCTCACAGTGAAAAATTTCTTCCTAATACCTAATCTGAATCTACCCCCTCCCGGTTTGACGTTCTTTCCCCCCGTCCTATCACTACATGCCTTTGTAAAAAGTCCTTCCCCAGCTTTCCTGTAGGCCCCCTTTAGATACTGGAAAGCTGCTATAAGGTCTCCCTGGAGCCTTCTCTTCTCCAGGCTGAACAACCCCAACTCTCTCAGCCTGTCTGAGAGACAATGACATTGTTTCTTTTCCCAAGCAGGACAATTTAATCTCTAAAACTTGTTCTCACCTACAATGAGTCTTGCTTGAAAGTGCTTCTTAACTAGAGACCCAAAATGAGCTTTCTGTGAAAAAGCAGAAAATAGATAAAATCCACCAGAGCAGTGAAAGATTTTTGAACCGGGTGGTTGAATACATCCCTGCAAAAATAGGCCTTGCCTCCTGCATGCCATCAGGCTAACTGATCATAACCAACTTTCCAAACCATATGCAAACAGGTCTACTCTTCCTGCCAAACTTCCATGACAAAGAGCAAAACCACAAACAATTCCACCCAGACACACTCAAGCTCCACAAGAAGTGCCTAACGGTTTGTTAATGATGAGGTGACCCAGGCCGAGGTAGCAGGAGGACAACAAAAAAAAGGTTTCAGTGGAATAAACCAAGTCTTTAAAAACGCACAGGGGCAGGATGCAGCTGAAGGTTCAGTAGCCAGTGGCTATACATCCTTGTAGATTTATCTCCCTCCTTCCTATCACTTCCCTTTTTGCTCTATTTATTTTTTGCTGGTTGTTCCTTTCAGCACAATGCTTATAAAAGAAATAAATTTACTAAGCCCTGATGTGTTGTTTTCTACAAAGCAAAACTTTTGGCAAACTAAAATGTTTTATAGCTTCCTGAAAGCGAAATCATCTTTATAATGAAGGATTTCCCTGACATTGCACAAACAAATAGGGAAAGCAAGCCTGCAGGCAAGGGTTTATTTATAATAACTCTTCCCTTGATTTTTAAAAATAGAGGACAAAGTCCTCTAATTTGTTGCCAACCAGCCGAGCTAACAATATTGCAGGTACTTACTGTTCCAGTCATGGCAATTTTTTGGATACTGGAATAGGGTGGTGAAAAATGCCCAGCACGTTGCATGCAGTGGCCCTGCCTTACTCTAACCAGGATATGCCTAGAGGCAAAAGCAGCACAGCCTGTAGTGCAGGGCTGAGAGACCGGAACTCAGCTTTAGACCTGATACAATTTGTGACATTCATTTGCTTTAGATGGAGAAAATTCTTAACCACAGCGATATGGTCTAACTCCATTTTCAGGCCTTTAACAAAGATAGACTGTGAAAATGAGTAGTTGTATTACTGTTATTTTTCACAGAGAGCGTTCTCTACAAATGCTACTGCCTGGAAGAGTTTTCCTGAATACTTTCATCTCATTCCTGCTTCCTCCATTTTTAAGTCTGACCTTAAAACATATCTTGTCTCCCTTGCACGTGCTTCTTCTATCCTCTCTCCGATTATCCATTCTTTAACTTTGTTAAATATGTTTAAACTTTGTTAAATATGTTTATTTTATTTCATACAGCCTCAAAACGGTTGTGGAAGGGATGTCTGGGGACTATCTAGTCCAACAACCTTGCTCAAAGTAGGGTCAACAGAGCAGGTTGCTCAAGGCTCTGAGTTGTTGTACAGAGATTTTCTAAGCTCCTTCATGGCTTTCTGTATCTGGAACAGACTGAAACATATTGCTTACTCAGTTGTAAGCAACTAAAATACCATGTTTCCTGTACTTGCATTTAGTCCACCTTTCTACAAATGGTGCTCTGTTACTCGTCTCCACGCTAGTGTTTCATGTGTCGGTCTATGTGAGCAAAGGGACATTCAATTTTTTTCCTTGGTCATTCTGAAAAAAAGCAGACAACATAACTAATGGCTCCAAAGAGAAGCTTCCTGGGAACCACCCATCTCTGGTATTGATTATGAAATAATGTACACTCATGCATGCTCGAGGAATATGTGAGAATGGTCAACCTTCGTAAAAGAATCAACAACTACACTCTTCAGATTCAAAGCCCATATATTTTTTGACAGCATAAAGAGAAAAATAGCAAGTATACAATACGGGTTCAAAATAACACAGTGATGTGCTCAAAATTCATATTGAACAGCATCTTAGTGAAGTGCAATTTATATCAGTTGGGATCCAGCCCTCCATTCTTTAAGTGTATCATGTACATTTCAGTCCAGCAAAAAAATAAAAGAAACAGTCCACACTGGGTAGATTACAGTAAAGAAAAAAATAGATTTAGATAAAAGAAAACTTATTGTGAACCAGAGAGGAAAAGTCACTTTTTGAGAGGGATTTTAGTGAGAAGATGATGGTAGCCTGATTGCCACATATGGGAAAACACTCCACAGGCAAATGTATGAATAGAGCATCAAGACTGGCGCAGTGGTCCAGGGAGAAAATACTGGAAGAATCGCGATGTGAGAGCTGTCTTTGCCATCAAGGCAGGCATAGAAAATTAGAAGTTAGGCCTGGATAATTGTGAATTAACCTGAATATAGCTATTATATTATTAAATCCCGTACACTGATCAAAAAGAATTGAATGGTAACCAAGGCACAGAAGAGAACAGCAGCCTATAATGCTTCTGCACAAGATCATAAAGTCACTGTTGGACAAAAGTGAGGGCCATTGCAATCCTTAAACGAAATAAATCGCCGAGATTATTTTACAGAATTTTTTACATCGTTCATGGAATAACAAAAAAGGTTGCATTGCGAATAGTAGATAGTTGCATGAATTGGGCTGAGTTTGTCTGTGTCTCTAATGACTTGCAAAGAATGGTTCTAGGAAGAATGACTACATTTTCTGACAGGTTCTACTACAACTATCCTTAGTTAGGCTTTGACTGGTCATGTTTATAGAAACTAACCTGACACAGCTGCAGGCAACAATTTGAGATGAACCTATGCTTCATATAGTGGGAGGAATAAGTTAAGAGGCAGGAGATATTTAGGCAACTAATCATGGCAAGTTTCCAGCATAAGAGCAGCCAAGAAGCTTCTGTAAATAACTCCCAGTTTTGAACATAAGGTATTTCTGCTGGGGAGTCCTTGAGTCTGGATCTCATGCTTCACTTGTCCATGTGCCAGAGCTTGCAATGACTGGAGTTTCAGGGCACATATCAGGCCCATCTGTTTGCTTAGCCTTTTGCCTGGAGTAGGTTGGGATACAAGCAGTGTGCCGTTCAAACAGCGCATTCTGCAAGAAGTCGGGATGGTGTTTTGAGTTTCTAGTCTTTGACATGGTCTTGGGTTGGTTGAGAAATCCTACGGAATAGCTTTCTTTTGCTAAAGGCTGACTGCATTATTTATAGATCCTGGTGCTGAGGTAGTTGGTAATTTTGGAAATGGCTACCCGTTCCTGTAACTAAAATTCAAATGAATAGATGGTATCAATGTATTTATTTAAAATTTAACATCTACTTGAATTCAGACACTGAGATCACAGGAAGGTTGCTCACCTTAGAATCTCACAGTAGAGAGAAAAGACGTAGTATGTAAGGGTATTTTTTCACTTGATATTGGAAGTTTCCAGAATACAGGTGCACAAAGGCATGCACACATGCACATACCTACCCCTATAAACATGAGGATAACACAATCCCTTCTAAACAACTTCTTTAAAAAACAAACTCTCCTCTAGTCACTAAAATTTCTACCAGGTCCAAACACTGGTGAAGTAAATTGCCAAATTACAGTGCACTGCACCACAGCAACCAGATTTTACAAGGGCTGCACATCCAAATAAATGCCCCTGGGCAACCCATTCATCTAACAGCTGGAAAGGTGACACTTGACATTTGGAAACTTTCCTGTGAAGATTGCTGTAAGGCTTTCCCATTAGCTTCCTGGTGAGACTGTAAGGTCGAATAAGCTGCCTTGAAACCTGCAAAGGGTAACGAAAATGCTCTAGTATCACCAGCCTGGCTTGATTTAAAATTCTAATTCTCAAGCCATGACTATTCAGATTTTTTTCCGAAGTATTAAAAAAAAAAGGAGGGGTTTCAAGTCATGCATGTATTCCTAGAGGTTTAAGAGGAAGGAGACAAAAAGGAGGAGATACTCCCCTCTCCCCCTATAACAGTTACCCAGATTCACTGTGCACTGAGAAATTAGGCAAGCAGGTCAGGGATTAAAGATGTTTCACACTCAGCATTTTCATAGGGTCTAAGAAGGCAGGACACAAACAGTGCTTTAGAACAAGTGAGAAAAAATATGTACAGATACTAACAACAAGCTTTCAGTTGAAGTATTTTTAGGAAGTGAAATCAGACCCCAACAGCATGAAATTGCACAAACATGCAATCAGAGAGGCTTTGAGCAGATGGATGGGGGAGAAAGACATCGAGCTGTTACAGGCCCAACTTCAGTTGTTCAAATCTCTTTTTGTGGGAGAATGAATCATGTATCATGTTTCTGAAAAGTTCCTTGCACTATGAACACACTCTTTGTCAGCTGGTTCTCCACACACAGGCTGTGTCTCCTGTCTCTGCAGGTTCCCCTGCAGCTCTACTAGACTTTGTGCTCTTTCCTTTACTAGAAAAATTAGGGCAGAGGTGCTCAGTCAGCGACACACAAGGAGCAGCGAAAGGGAACGTGCAGTTAGCAGGTTTTTCAAGTCTATATCCCTTAAACCCACATTTTCCAGGTAAATCCTCCTTTGCATTGTTTTCCCCTGTGCATTCTCGTGTCCAGGTTATCAGCCTCATCAGAGCAAGCTTTGGTTCTGGTGTAGATAATCAGAGTGCTCCGTAAACTGCTAGTACACTTGCGCCCTAAAAATACTAAAATTGTCTTTCCCAGGTAACAACACTGGCAGTATTTAATTTTTATTTTATACACTATTGAGCGATTTTTCTTTTTAATACTCAAGGGCTCACTTCTTTTCCCCAATTAACTAATTAGGACTTCTACTTGTACTGTGTATTGTGCAGGAAGGTTCGCTACCCTTGAGCAGAATTCAGAGCTCAGGCCAAGAAAACGTTGCTCGGATTTCAGTGTTAAGATAATACAAGAAAGCTGGGCTCAACTATCCAAGCTCAGGTATGTGATCCAAGTTGAATGAATCTATTGTGTTCAAATCACCAGATAATCTGGGTATTAGTTCCTCAAAACTTGTATTTTTAATCTAAACCACAATGAAATTATTTTAACAATCACAACAAAAGTATCTAAAAGCAGACAGAAATGGGAAAAAGTACTTTTAAAAAAATCACCTGTATGTATCTGTGCATGTACCAGGAAGCTTGTTTTCCATCGTTTACTGATTCCACTGTAGTGTTAGCAAGACCACCAATGTCACCCCCTGCAAAAACCCAGGGTTCACTTGTTTGCATAGTTTCCGGATCTACTTCGGGAAGACCCCATCTGTTAAACTTGATAGGTGCCATGGCCTCTTTAACTGTAATTAAAGTGAACGACAAATATGTTAATAGAAGAAGCAAAAAATTGTTGCTAAGATCTGTCAAATATACGCTGATAACAATTAGAAAAGCAGCTCCAAGTCCTAATTCTTTCACTTAAACGTGAATTCACAGTAGAAATGAAAAGTCCTTTTATATATATGAACGCTTTCATTGAGCTAGGGGAGATATGTAATTACTAACGGGACTCAGACAGAAGAACAACATGCATTATACGGAACAGCAGTTTGGCAGTATCAGAAAAGTAACCGGTTCCTGTGTGGCTGCAAAGCCAGACTTGCGTAAAAGAGAAATGTACACAAGCGTCACAAGAAGTGACTGACTCGACGCAGGCTCGGGAAATAATTGGTGCTAACGTTCTTCTGGTCACTCCCTGAGAATACACTGCATATCCCAGAAGCTGGGATTCACAAAGTCATTCTCACCAGCAGTATTAATTTCCCAGGCAAGAAGGCCAGCAATTCCGAAAATCCCATTAATGAAGCATATCAACAAAGGAAAAATGAATTTCCTTTTCCCTCCTCTTACCATGTCAACATGCTTTTCTCCTGAATAACCTACCATATACTCGCTTGTGTAACTTAATATGCAGCATATGATTTTTGAGGTTTAAAATGAAAAGAGAACATTTATGATACAATTTCTAGAAATTAATTTAGATCTCCAGAACTTACTTCCCACATTTATTAGCCCTCACAACAGAAATGATACTCTGCTACTTTTTGACAGGTCATTATTAAACCTGAATGAAAAATTTCAGAGGGAACATTTTCCCGCCAGGAAATGTTACACTATCAAAGCTTTGGCTTGACAAAGGGTGTTGGTTTTAAAGAAATTTAATTCTGAAAAAGATAAATTTCAATAAAGACAAAACCATTCTGACTTAATATTTAAACCAGAAAATCCTGAAAGTAAGGCTCACTTTGAAACTTGTTACATATATTAAGAATAAAACCATACAAACAATCAAAATGAAATGCTTAGATGAAGACAATATCTTTTGTATCTTTTTCACTGCAATTTCTGATGGTTTTTAGAGCATGCATTAGCATATCTTATTGTTTTCATGTTAGTAAACAGCACATATAGGCATTCTGCACACAAACTATTACTGTCCTTAAAAATAATGTAGACGTGAAAATAAAAAAAAAAATTTAATATTGCATGGCATTATACAAATGGCATTAAATACACACAAATCCTCATAAAAATAATCTTGCTCAATATTAATATGATTTTTATTACGCATTTTTAAATTATTTTATTATAAACAACAAGACACTTCAAAGTAGCTTCATGAAGAGAATCACTTTTTCAATAAATATTTTTAGCAAATGTTGATGGCATATATTGAAATGAGGGGATTTTATATAGTTTTGTCTACAGGAACTGAAGATCCTGAAATAAAAGGCAGTTTAAAATTGCAATGTCCCTCAGGGACATACCACTAGCAGATGCAGATTTCCAAGGTCAATTAAACTGATGTAGTTGTGCTGTCATATATGTAAAAGAGAAACCTGCCAGTTTAAGACAAGAATATTTCTCCCGTACAAGGGCAAAGCAATAGTATTGCCCTAGTGCACACCTGAGTATGCAGCAAGCTTCAAATGCATCTTTCTTGCACATCATTGTGATGGAATTTTCTTCCCAGGCTCTGTATCTCCCTTCACCTCCAAATCATATATTAGAAGTGTATTTCAGAGTGGGGGCTGTGTATAATCCGGTGCAAAATAAAAAACAGGAAGCAAGGTACAAACATTGTCACGTCCTTGTCCCACCTACGCTCTCTTCCTCACCCTTGGCGTACACAAATATCCAGAGGACTCAAATTCAAAGGGTTTTTTTTGCAACTGGTTCAGAAGCCAGCGTCACAGAAGACAGTTTGAAACTGAAAAAAATGTAGCAGGTTTTCATGCCAGGAGTATTTAATCTATCTTCAAGACCTATTGCTTGCACAATCCCTCCCACCCCGCATATACTTGTGGCTTAACATGGCAAAAATATTTGCGTAGTAACAGAATCAAAACCTTATGAACTGCTTTCCTTTAAAAATATTTAAATTACTGAAAAGATCACACCAAACACAACCTTCAGACTGAAACATTTTTCAGTCTGGAAAATGAGTTTTTTGGTTTGTTGGTTTGCGTTTGGGGTTTTTTTATTTCTTTCTTTTTTAAAAAAAGGAAAGTGCTTGTAATGGCTGATAGCAGTTTTATAAGAATGCTTCAGCAATATTTATAAATCAATACATTAACTTTCTCTTTATGTCTCAGACTGTCTATAGTTCAAGAAAGCTTTTGATCATCTTATGTTTGTCACATATGGGATAACTTACTGCGTGCAGTGGTACCATCTCAGCATGTGGTCCAGACAGTTCTTGCAAGCTAAATACGTACAGGCTTGTAAAGACATGTTTGAAAAAAACCCAGAGGAAAACTTGGTGCTGCAGGATTTGGTATTGGGGATTTAACAGATGACTTTTGTTTCTGATACAGGACTGAACCACAGTAAAAGTGTTAAAGGGCAACATGCTATCGGAGATGTAGTTTTTCAGAAGAAATGATGTAAAACTGGAAGTTCTGACTACTTATTTCATCTTGTGGAAAAATAGGGTATTACCTCTGTAATCCTGGAACTATTACATTTCTCAAATCTATCTTTGATTTGTTTTGTGCTAAAATAGCTGTCTGGACATAATTATACCAAAAGCTTCTGGATTGCAAAGACTGCCCAACATACCTTCACCAGAAACATCTCCCCAGGACCTGGGGATTTGTCTGCCTCATCAGTATTTTTAAAACTGGGAAAGAACATTTCCCTGGTGGCAAGGTCGACATAGTATCTAGCAGCTTTTTCTCTCTGTCTTTTTTATAATCTCCAAGATTTAGGTTAAATAAAAATTAGGGCATGGTTTAAAAGCATCTTATATAAAGAGTTCCTAACATCCTCTCAATTTGGATCTGGTACCCAGGGCAACCGCCAGTCTGAAGCGACCACCTCCTAGACCACCTGCAGAAAGAAGGGGAGAACTTTGGTCTTTACAAAGGGAAGTCCCTCCTGTGCCCCTGCAAGGGCTGAGAGACAGTCTAAGAGCCAAACCTGAGCTTGAAAGGAGGTGATCCCAACTATCAGTTCTCTGAACTGCTGTTTGACACTGAACAATAAGAAAACCAGACACCTAATGTTTTTGTTGGTGCGTGATT